GTTTGTGGAAAAGTTGCATTGTACCTGTGACAGCAACATTTTTAAGATATACTAATTTAGAGAAGTATATATATTTTTAACTAGACTGACTAGCTAAAGGCTAGATCAAATAGGTCCAAGACCCGTGTTTAATTTGCAGACATGTTCCTGTGTTTAGTTTTCTACACCGCCTTATTATCTAGCTGTTTTTTTTGTTGTTGTTGTTTGTTTGTTTTATTATTTATTTATTTGTTTGCTACTTTTCCTTTTGACTGTCCTTTTGGTTGCTATTTTGTTTTGATTTGTAAAAAAAAAAAAAAAAAAAAGAAATTTAAATGTGTATGTCTTTTTTATGACTGTCTATTGTTGTTGCTGTTATCCACTGTTGTCATCACTCTTTGTTAAAGAATTCAGGACCCTCTGTAAATGAGTCCCCGAGACTCAACCTGTCTAAATAAAGGTTGAATGAATGAATTAATTTGAGCCGCATTCTTCTGGAACAGGATCCGAGAACTCTCTTATTTTGACGGGGTGCATTTCGATAACCGTTTGCTTGGATCTGGTAACTCTCACAGGCTTACTAATCATAAAGTTATGAACAAATATGTCTGTCTTGAACAAATATAACTATACAGTAGTCCAACGCTACTTCGAGGTTCGTTTATCGCGGACTCGTTCTATCACGGTTTTTCAAAATAAGATTGGACATGACACACAATTGGCTGATTGGTAGATGAGCCGCATGATCGGCATGGAATTTTTATTTTAAATAATTATTTTAAATTATTTAGCACCTGTTGCACAATTGTGCAGCCCATACTGCAGGATAAACTTCCTGCTGTAGCTGATCAGCTGTTCTCAGTGCAAAGCAAATAAGTGGGCGTGGCCAAGAGCACTTGAAGGTGGCAAAGAGCAGAGGAGGCAGGGAGCTGGAATTATGACATTATGTGCTCTTTCGGAGTGTTTAGAGTTTAGAAACATTGTTTAAAATATCGCAAGAATATGGGAAGGGTTTAAAATGCCTTTATACATATATATATATATATATATATATATATATATATATATATATATATATATATATATATATATATATATATATATATATATATATATAAACCTTTGGGGACTAGAGTTGTATGGCATCAATCCACTTTTGTCTTAGTCCCATTTAATTTGAATTTTAGCTTGTCAGTTTGTTCAGAGTTCAACTTTATTCACCTAAAGTGATGTAATTTAAAAGGCTATCTACAACAGGTAAGATACTGTTTGTTTGTTGCCTTTTCACAGAACTTTACTTCAAAAATTCTGAACTAAAATATCCTTTAATAACGGACACATATTCAAGATGAGTCTTTTGGAAATGCACATTGCTATTATATAACATGAAGAATAATCAAATATAACTGTTGTATAGTTACAGGGGTGTGGATTAGCACCTCTGGAAATTACCAAATAGCAGTCATTTATTTAAAAGGTCCTAAATTGTTCAAACTCCATTTGAAATGAGTTTTCACTGCGCCCCAACAAAACTTCGGCAAACCTCAATTTGTTGGAGCGATACTGCTTCCTTATATAGACAAATTAAATAAATTAAAATGAAACACTTGCACTGTCACTCTGTTCATAAATCTTCACTAAAACCTGCAAATTTGCCCTGAAAGATGGCCAAACGAGATGAATTGAACATGACAGGATCAGCCTACGTCTTTGCCACGGATCAGATGGCCGTGACACAAGCATTTTAATTCAGCCTCGTCTGAAACAAAAGTGACAGTATTAAATAAATGAATTAGATGAGACAAAGATTTAAACTCCGTTTCCCTCACAGCCTGCGATTATCCTGGGACTATCGGACTGGAAATCTGGCTGCAGGGCCAGATGAATCTTATCAACTGCTTATCTGTTCTGGGCTTTGCCTGGGAGCCTGCAGTAATTACAATATATCAGGATCTGAAAGTCAAGGAGCTGGGGAAGGTTTTACCAGGACTTTCTCTCTCCCATAAACATTTCCTTCATTTTGAACCCTAAAAATGCTAAAGAAAGAAGAAAGACTGGGCTTTATTGTCACATGGTTTCACAATTTATTTGCATTTTGTCCAGTTCCCCATGTACACACAATAGTAACACAAATAGCATGGTTCTGTAAATGGTGGGTGGACATACCTTTGGATTTCTGGGACATATCATATTTTTTGGACTATAAGGCGCACTTAAAATCGTTTAATTTTCTCAAAAATTGACAGTGAGACATATAATATGGTGCATCTTATGTATTAATTCTTGTTGTGCTTACTGATCTCGAACCGATTTTGTGTGGTGCATGGCGCTCAAAAATCTGTCAAAATGAATTTGTTTCACTTAATGCACCTTATGTATGAAAACAGACCGGTTCATTGATATTGTGCCTTATAGTCTGAAAAATATGGTAATCTAACAGTTGTCTAAAACATGTGAGGCTGGCTTTGTGTTATAGTGTAGATAACATATGTTGTGTTATCTAGAACTGGCAAATATGTTGATTATTGTCTTTGAACTAACATTTACCATGTGCGCTTTTTGTTGGCCAAATGTTAGAAACACTGCCTGGGGGAGACTATTCTAAAATGTTTGGCAACTTATGAAACTGAGTTTTTGCAAGGCCACTTGGAGCACTCTCTGCCAAAAAGGATCAAGCATGCCTACGTACAGACAGCTGCTGAAATACGGTTGTCACACTCGCAACATGTGACAACTGTATTTGCACACAACCATAAAGATTATAGAGTTACTGATTAAATACATTCAGAATGAGGTCAGACAGCGTAAGACCTTTACACGTCCAGTTTGTGGAGGCAGAATGAGAAACAGCTTAAAACCTGGTGAGCACCAAAATTAGCCAACATAAGAAGCTACAGCAGGTTTTCCACTGGGTTGAAGTCAAGAATTAAATAATCATGTCTAAATGAGGCTTAAGGTCAGAAAATTCTAATCTAATTTAAGATGTTGTGGTTAAACAATGGCTTTACTTACTCAAATTTATTCAGAGCTGAATAACAGAGAGAACAGGAACAAATGGCAGTGTTTTTATTAACTGAAAGATACTGTATTTAGTTTTTGAGATCTTAGTTACAAGTCCAGTTACTTGCTCACAACAGAAGAAAAAAAAAAAGAAACATAGGTTAAGAACATGATGGCTGATCTAATATTTTGTTGTAATGTACCAAAAAAAACAAACATTTTAATTAAAAGCCTTGGATTCCTTGAAAGAATGCATCACCTGATGCCTTTCATGCCAAACTTTTAGACTCATCTAATGGAACAAAATGACACTTGTTCGAATTTTGCTCCAACCTTGAAAACAACATTATGTGCATTCCCCCTGTTTGCAATATCTTTTGTGGTTTTGTATAATATGTTAGTGATTGGAGTATGTGTTATGAATCAGCTACTACCACATCAGATTTGAATTCAAGATTTGTAAAAATCACTGAGTTGAAGCCATTGTTGTGTTATAAAAGGTCAGTTGGCTGCAGTGGCCAATGTGGAATGGGTTAAGTCCAAATTTTGAGTTGAAGATGCCGAATTAATGATTACTTTCTGAAAAGTTAATTAAAATCCATTGTGTGTTAATGGGATATTTTTCTAACCAAAAACAAATTTCCATTAGGTAATGGCTACGTTTAGGCACAGCTCTTGCAGCTCTGTTAGCACTTGTTTGCATACACTAGGAAATCAGTCTCAGCCACCACCACTACACCAAATTTCAGCTCAATATCTGTAAAATTGATTTATAGCCATTTTGTGTCATTAAAATTGCTTCAGACACACACACGCACACACATCTATGAGACTTGAGAAAAATAAAAACAAATTAAACATTATTGCCCTTTCACCGTTTACAGAATTAATGCAAAATGACTGAAAAAAAAAAGTTTGAGATGGAAATAAAGTGTTTTTTTTTTTTCTCCAATAAAATACCAAGTGGAACCCAGTGGATACAATCTGCTTTAATGTCCCCCTTTGTTGTGTTTGTGTGTTGTTGGTTATCAGTGCTGTTTTGTATCGCATCTTGTAAAAAAAAATAAAAAAAATAAAATAAAGCATATATGAGGTATGACTTCTGTGTTGCTGGTTGCATTAATAGCCGTTGTGTCCTGTTTTTGATTTTTTTTCTATCTAAACTACACCAGTCAAATAGTAACCTTTATTTTAAAGAATGGCTTAAAAAAAAGTTACTTTATTTTGGCGTCTGTGGCTGGGAAATTTATAACAAAAGAGAAATGACTGCATCACGGCATCGTTACACTCAAGGCAGGCTTGCTTTTGGTTCCCACATATACACAACATATTGCATCATCAAACAATACACAATCAGACGGCAAAAAACTTGCATCACAGGGAAAACACTAGAAAAGTCATCTGAAAAGAAACAACAAAACTGAATCAGCACTAACATAGTGCATAAACCATCTTTTTTATTCAGGAAAAAAAGAAAACAAGGAGGTGCTGCTTAGTTCATCCAAAAGAGGTTGTGACACTTCCTTTCACAAAGATCCAGCACTAATGAGAAAAATCCAACGGTTCTTGTTGCAGGGCCTTTGAATTCTGAGCGACTGCAGACTCTAGTAATTCAGTCTTTCTCCAGACTCAAACAAACAAAGAAACTAAAGAAAAAAGAAAGTGGTCCCTTTGATTCTTGACACAAAAAATCTCCAGAATGAACCCTTGTAGATTCACTTTTGTTTCAGAGTCTTCCCATTTTTTTTTTTAAATTGCAAATAATGCTTCAACTGTGGGTTCATGTTGCAAGCAGTTATTTAAAAAGAGAAGAACAACTAGAGGTCCATGTCTCACTTTCTCCTTGATCAGCTTTGGTTCTGCTTTTTTGAGTTGGCTACTTCGCCATTCAGCAGCAAAAACGTGGCTATCGTCTATTAGCTCACATCCACAACCAATCCTAAACAGGTCGGGACACAATCAGAACACGGCCAGATTTTGGTCCAAGGCCAAGCATGTCCTCATGAGGTATAGCAGCTTGGTTACATATCCATGTCCCCATCATAGGCAAGAGTCAGAGGCTTCTGTGGAGGAGCAGACGCCTTTGTGGTTTTGTATGGATTGCTGAATAAACAGAGAAAATAGAAAAGGAAAAGTTACGAATGCACACGGCTCAGTAGCACAAGGCAGCCCAACATGATTCCAGTCTTTAAAGGAATTCTATTAACTGATAACAGCACACAGTTTAAAATGCGTGGAGGGGTATAACTTGTAGTCGGGTGAGTTTTGTTCGAGGAAAGAACCTCACGGTGCCTCTTGATGTTTATTCTGTTCGCATATAAAGTGTGTGATCTACAGCGGAGCTCCTCACTTTCAAAATCAAACACGGTGAGGAATTTCTTAAGAGAGTATTGTAGCACGTACCAGACCAGGAATGATAATGCGATAACGAAGAGTATCACGACGAAGCCGACGACAGTCACGGCGTAAACCCACAGCTTTACTCTTCCATCTGTGCAATCAAAAAAGATGGAGTTTTAAATATTTGTTTCTCTGAATCAAATTTATTGATGATCCCCATTTTAAATAGAAGTAGGTCTGATTTCATTTCAACCATACAGCAAAAGAGATTTTCTTGGCAGTTTTATGATCCATTTTAGTCTTTTTTCCCCCCCAGTGTCTATAATGATGAGACCTGTAAAAATATTGCCCTAATGATCTTTTTCCTTTGGCCCATTGATTCTAGATCTACAGCACAAAGGCAATTTCAAAGGCGGCAGCAGCCGCAGCCATGCTGCCTGATCTGTACGGATGATTTCCATTTCAGTACCTGGGCCAACAGGTCGCAAGGTCCACTCACTGAAGAGGTCATTGGCTTGAGACGGTCTGGGTTTTAATCTCCCAGAGTTGGTTTTCACGTCAGCTTTCTTGCTGTTGTCCACCCCTGGGGTTCTCGTGCAATAGTCCAGAAAACCGTGCGAGGTCATCACTTCAGTGTAGCCTTTCTCACACCCACACACTCCGCTCTGTTTGAAGAGGTAGCAAGGCCAGAAGAAAAATCATTTACTCCCCACAGAGGACGTCTGCAACTGTTACTTCACACTTTACAGCCTTGCATTTCTAAGTGCAGTTACACCGTGGTGCTCTAAGGGGCAGTGTAATGTTAACTTCTGTGCAGCGTCCCGGTCCATATCACCCCACAGGTGTACTTGCTAACTGACAAAGAGTTCACACTCATTGGTATTAATCTCATTAGCTTTTAATGGCCTGTTGTGGGGAATTAAAAATGTCATCTGTCAAAAACCATTTCACTCCCAACATAGCATGTGAGCAGAAAACAACAAAACCACCGTGAGAACAACGGAGATCACAGCTCTCTGATCAAAGCAGGAGGATCTTACCGGTGTGCAGTGTGTGAACGGTTTGGTGCACGGAGGATGGCAGTGTCGAAGAGTAGTAGGCCTTTTTTGTGGGAAGCACCCCCCTGGAGAAAGACAACTTATTCTTATATCTGTTCTGCTTTTTTCCCATTGATCAGTAAATTAACGTTCTTGTCACAACTGATTAATGGGCCCAGAGGCCTATCGGGGTCCCTGATCAATTGGTGAACATTTTAATTCCAACATGGAAAATTGCACGTCAGAATATCAAAGAGTAATGCCTTGGGCTCCTGGCTTCTCTGCAGATGGAGAATTTATTTCCCTTCTGGGTTCATTTTTGCCAAAAATACTTCCTTGCAGTGATAAGATCACATTCGCCCACTATTTACAGCACATCAAGCCAGCCTAAAGCTTTTATTCCCACAGTACTTTTATCTTTGTTCTGATTCTCTGCGCCTGCTTTACTTCCAACAAACACATGATTATATTTATAAGGAGTGAAAGCATCCCAGCTCTGTCTGGTTTATTGATTTGTTATGTTAAACTGGAGAAAAGAAATAAATAGGGATGGGAATAGGTAGACAAAGGGTATAAAAGTGAACTAAAACTGCACTAAAATCATGCTATGGGAATGCATGAGTGTCAAAATGTGTGACATAATGCATATTTCACATGTCACTGTGAATTTTTTATTTAATCTCATTTTAATTTATTTTTTTCTGAAGGCATACAGTTAAATAATAAATAAAAAAATCATATCTGCTGAAGCAGAGCCCAGTGACAGTATAACACTGCAAACTTTCAAGATGATACTTCTTTTTCATTCACCCCTGTCAGATCTTTCCAAATGTTGCATTTTCCATTATTTCCTGATCCAATAATGAGATCTCTTGGAAATGTAATTTCAAACCACCTTCTACAAGCCCTTCTCCTAAAGTTTGACAGCTTTCATAGATAAATGAAAGGAGATTCACTTAATGTCACAGCAACAAATATACATTTCTATTTGAGCCATCGAATTATAAGATATTGCAGGAAATGGCCCTGTGATCTAGACTGAATTGAAAACAGCTCAAAGTGACTAACTTCATGAGGACAGAGAGACAGACAAAAACAGAGATGGTGCACTTTCAGCTGCAGCCTGCTGTAAGACAGATTTATAGAGGAATCTGTGCGTGTTTGTGTTCCTGGGAGGTGTAATCCATCCATAAAGTGGCCAGAGGACACTGCAACTGTTCACCTGTGACATTAACTCCATCTGAGCGCTGACACCACACTGCCCTCTCATTGTTGCTCCATCCTCCTGTTTTCCACTGGTAAGTGTGGCATTTTCCTCCTGCAGTAATGGCAGACAGGCAGATACATTGCTCATTAGCAGTTTGTATTGGCCATCCCGACTTGCTGTCAGGCTTCTATAGGTGGTAACCTCCATTTTCCTTCTGGCTTCTGTCATACAATGCAAGACGATTTCTGATTACAATAACGGGGGGGAAGCACTTATAAACTAAAGAACTTTAGAAAAAAATAAAATAAATTGGTCAGAAATGTATGAAATAGGCCTCTTATTGCAATCAAAGCTCTTATTTTTCTGAGGGAAAATGTATCAAAAAGATGATTTGTAGAGACAAGACAGAACATTTTGATTTCTAATGGTAAGTAAAGTCTAGACACACATAGATGAAATTTGAGGCAAACTAAATATATATATATATATATATATATATATATATATATATATA